GGGGCCTGGCCTGGCGTCCCGCTGCGCCGCCTGCAGCCCTCGGCGACAGCGGGTTGCTGTCTGAGCCCTGGCTTGTATGGGTACCGTTGCTTTCTGTGGAGATCCCGCCTGTTTTTACAACTGCAGGGGCCGAGGGCGGTTCCCGATCGGTCTCGAGTGACACCAGACGTTGTTAACGGGACTCCGTTTCACGGTGCTCTCGACCGTGAAACCGGACACATCCTAAATCTTGCTCATGGTAATGCTCCTGGAACGATTATGTGCTGAGCTTTCACCTAAATACCCGTCTTACCTATTTAACAACGTTCCCTGTATTTTGCTGCTGTTCCAGGCACTGACAAAGCTAAGACTGTATCTTGTACAGACTTCTCTCTTCTGTTTTGGAAGACTCTACTTGCACTTTTGATTGAAAGTAATCTATTTGTGCACTAAATTAAAGTTAACATAGCCCATGGTAATTCAGACTTTTTGGCTGTGCAGGGCAGTATCTTACAGGGCAGCTTTACAGCTGGGATCACAACTGCTTCAGTGAGGAGTTTCACATAGAATCACAGAATAGTTTGGGTTGGAAGGGACCTCTAAAGGTCATCTAGTCCAACCCCCCTGCCGTGGGCAGGGACATCTTCAACTACATCAGGTTGCTCAGAGCCCCGTCCAGCCTGACCTTGAATGTTTCCAGGGATGGGGCATCCACCACCTCTCTGGGCAACCTTTCACCACCCTCAGTGTAAAAAATTCCTTCCTTAGATCTAGTCTAAATCTACCCCCCTTTAGTTTAAAGCCATTCCCCCTTGTCCTGTTGCAACAGGCCCTGCTAAAAAGTCTGCCGCCATCTTTTTTATAAGCCCCCTTTAAATACTGACAGGCTGCGATAAGGTCTCCCCAAAGCCTTCTCTTCTCTAGGATGAACAACCCCAACTCTCTCAGCCTTTCCTCATAGGAGAGGTGTTCCACCCCCCTGATCATTTTTGTGGCCCTCCTCTGGACCCGCTCCAACAGGTCCGTGTCTTTCCTGTGCTGAGGGCTCCAGAGCTGGACACAGGACTCCAGGTGGGGTCTCACCAGAGCGGAGTAGAAGGGCAGAATCACCTCCCTCGACCTGCTGGCCACGCTTCTTTTGATGCAGCCCACGATACGGTTGGCTTTCTGGGCTGTGAGTACTTGGAATATATCTGAATGTTCACAAAATAAAGAGGTCTTTGGAACACCTCCAATTGAATGCTATTAAAATTTTAAACCTATTTGCCCAGTTAGGATGACCTGTTAGTTAAGTAGACCTGGGCAAGAATTTTATGACACCATCCATTTCTAACAGAAAGGAATTTTGACAGGGTCAAAATACTATGTTTTTAACAATCCGATGTTCTATTTTTTTATTAAAAATGTAACAATGTTAAGTGTCTTTTAGACTATGTTAATAGTATAAAAATAATAAATTTTATCACTGAGACAGAAATCCAGCTCCTAACCAAATCTACAGTGCGGGATTTCTGGACTGATATATTTCTCTACAGGACACTGAAAATAATCTATTTACTGACAGAATACATTCTTTTCTTTAGCATTTTCTTTTGTGTTCTTTAGCATAATGTTTAGTGTTAACTCTTTTGTTATTTGTTATTTGAATAAAAAAACTTGTGTTCATGAAGCAAACATAGAAGCAAACTGTTAATGTTTTTATTACACTCTTTTAAATTCCCCTCTATCTTAAAAAAGTCAGACAAGTGAAATGATAAAAAAATATAGGCACTTTGACTCTGAATTTCCGTTATTAACAGATCGATTAACTTGATTAATGCAAATACTGTAATATTGCAAGTGTTCTTTTCAATTCTGTGTGGTTTTGCAGGCCTTGCATTTCAGATGACTTAAAAATAGCATATTACAGCACAGATCATGCTATGCAAACAGATATCAAAGAAATACCAGAATTAAAGGAGCTAGCTATTGCTGCACAAGCTTTAATCAAGGTAAATTAGGAAAGTATCATAACAGAGTTTTCCTCATGCTATAGAACGTGTACTTTGTCACTGTCATCTCTGTTTTGTGTAATTCTTAAGGAATCTGTTTTGGCTTTTCTTCTGTCTTCATATACCTATTTCAGCTAAATTATATAAATCTGTTTTCAAAATAGAAGAATATACAAGTATTAATAGTTGACTTAGAGACTGGATTACTTGGCTATCTGAATCAGAGAAAATTGCGTAGGGATTTAACTTGTTTAATGTACAAAAAAAGATAAACTTAAGTGAAAATTCTGAAGGTTTAAATCTATCTAATAGTGGCTAAGAGTCTGGAAATAAATGTGGGCCTGTCAGTTCCATTGATACTCACCTGATACCAGTTATGAGTATGGCTAAGGAGACCTCACACATCTGATAAAGGAGATTAAATAAAATAGTGCAGTGCTTCTGCAAATCACATACAAAAGCAAATTAGAAAGAAGATCCAAATCGTATTATCTACTCTTGCACAATTATATGTATATCTTGAGCAGTGTCTCACTGAAATTTAATGCTTAGACTTGGGCGGGAAGGTGCAGTCCATAAGGAGGCATGGTGCAGCCTGCTTAACATAAATGCCTTAGCAATTTGTGATGGAAGACGGGTGCCTCCAGAGACCTGCAGAGGGAGATCTGTTCCATCAAAATGAGGTGTTTCTATCTGTCCCTTTACTGTGTAAGAAATTACAAAGGAAGATGCTTCAGGATATAAAACAATTATGTGCACAAAAAGGTTAATTTCCTAGAAAAAAAACCCAAAACTTTTCTTTTTAGTTCTTAGATGGTATATATAGAGATAAGAACTAAAATTAAATGCTTTTGGTACTCTTTTCAGAAGCAGTATCTCATTCTACCTCACAACCCTGAAAGATTTCAGTGTATTTTGCTCATCTGAGCCAGTGGCAAGCAGAATGCATTTCCTTTAACACTTCCTCTGTCACTTCTTGCTAAAATGCAGATATTTTTATTCTTTTCACTATAAAATACTTTGCAGACTGTTGAATTAGGATTTATAAACAAGTTTTGACCACTTTCTGGGCTTACATTTTGAGATCTGTATTGATACATATGTGTGTGTCTCCTTTGCAGAATCTGACTAGTTACCATCTGGCAGATACTTGTGTGTTCCTAAATTAGTTATTTTTTGAGAAAGCTAAATATCTTTCCTGCATAAATATTCTCTGCCTGTCAAATATTGAATCCAAATATCTTTAAAATATGCAGTACTGAAGGTTTGGGGGGGAGTTTTTAGTTTAACAGAGAACACTTTGTACATCTGGATACAAACTATATTTATATTGAGGGTCAGTTCTCATTATGCTTTCCTTGCCCGGGACTACTGAAATATATGCTTAATATTGTATATTCAGATCTTCCAATTCATGAGTTATAGTTTTCTTAATGTCAGTTTTAACTTTTTATCATTCACAGGAGTGATACAATGGAGTGGTGCTTACAACAAAAATTACAAAGATGTCATTGATACTTCTGACATGGCAATGTATGTTCATTTTGGCACATTTTTATAATTTATGTTCTGTTCTGCAAAAGTAATTACAGTTTTCTTCATATAATTACTTTTTAGTTTCATTAGAGAACATTATGGTGCAATATTTCTTATTTTCATTAGAGAAAGCCCCCCAAGACTTTATTTAACAGTCAAATTTGTTATTTGGGGTGAGAATCAGCTCACAGATTAAAAAACCTACATTTAGGCATCTCATGGGGGTATCTTTGTCTGAGCAGGGCATCTAAACATGCCATATAGTCAGCGCAGATCTGTCTTTGTAGCCAGTGGAGATGTCTACGTGGTAGTAGATATGCTACTTGGCCTCCATCTCTGGTTTCAGAAAGGGACAGGTTTCCTTTAGCCCTGTGTCATGTCTGCCAGCCCTGCATAAGATGTCTTTCATACCTCATTTCTTCTAACACTAAACCACGTGTACACGAGCAACTGAGTCAAGGTCCATTGACTTCATTGCCTGTAACAGAAACTTACTCACCTAGTTCTTATGTAGACACCTAAAATTAGGTGTTTTACTCTGCAGGTGGAAACTCTTGCTGACAGCCTACGATGTCCAAAGCATGGATGTGAAGCTGTGAGCTCTGACAGGTGTAAAGACCCATGCCCAAGTGACTGTTGTAGACCAAAGAGGATACCATAGGGCATAGAAATGCATTAGATGCTTGTGTTTAGGTGGATGAATCTAGCCATCAGCATCTTGAACAGAGTAATGGAATAGTCGTACTTTTCTTTTGATTAGCTCACTTTGGATATAAAAATAAATAATACTAAGAATTTGATTTTTAGCTTGTTCACTCCCTCCAGCAAGATTTGTTCATCTACAAAAGCATCATTCAAGCACAATATGAAGAAAAAATTGAAGAGCAGGCTTCAAATCTTTGTCAATACATAAATGATTGACTGACAGACATTGAATTTTTACATAAATGGGTAAAGAGAAAAATTCTTGTTCACTTACATGTTAATCTTCACTAGATGCCCGTTCTTATTCCTATACCCTCTTTGTGCAGCTTGGTACAATATTTTACTTAATGAAAAGTAATCCACAGAAGTATTGAAAATAAGGAAATAAAGAAAAGTGCTAATATAGATTTAAAAGTGACTGTCTAAGGTGTCTTTTGCAAATTTGCAATTAATAGAACACGAATTACATTGTACTTGGCATATTAACAATCATATCTAGGAAAACTTCTTAAATTGTAGTGTGGTTATTTCTAGGAAAATACTTTATAGCAGTATTTTAACAGGCAAGAAACGTAACACACTTCCTGTGTGTATAAATTATTTACAGTTCTTTGTCCATGTATTTCTTTGAAAATACATAGTCAATGATCTTTAGGTAGTAAATCACAGCCCACGCCAGCATTAACACTCCTAGGCAATCATGTTGCAACTAGTGAGCACTCACTACAAAGGAGAAATATGCATAAAGCCTCAGTTTCAAGCTTCTGATATGAATGTTAAAAAACCAACTATTAAAAGAATTGATGCAGCAAAAGAAAGCGATAGAAAAGGAACATGAGCTTACTATTCTTTTTACATTCAAGAGCTTGGGTAGCATTTAATTTTCTTAAATGAAAAAGAAGAATATATAAAAGTTGTTTGGTTTGGTTTTCTAATTGCTTGTGTCCTTTTATTGCACATCAAAGTTCTCAGTAATTTGTTACAAACTGAATTGCAGAAAGAGGCCCAAATTCAACAAAGCTACCAACAAGTTATGTGATGCGCTGGCTGTTCTCAGAGCAAATATCGAGGTGGGTTTTAATCATTAATGTGGTAGTAGACTGCTGGCCTGAGTATTAATATGTCATAAACTAATTACAGATAATAGCTTTGCAGTTCAAAACCTGGAGAAGGGTGTATTTGAATTTTTCATGAAGACTAAGCATTTAAACTATATTGAATAGAAACAAAATAATTAACGCAAAAATATAATTGTTTTCACAAGTATTGTTTTTCCCCCCTTATGCAGGTTAGCATACTCGAGTATAGTTTTAGATGAGTAACATCATAGTTATTGCAACATGAATGAGGTATGTTAGTAGATACCAGTGGAAGAAAGCAAAAATTGCAGAGTTTTTAATTTCTTGACTAGTGAAAAACGATTGATCACAAAATACTCAAGCAGTGTGGGATTAGACCCAAATATGCAGTGCTTACTTTTCCATGTTATTGAGGGCAGTCAAATCAAATGAAGGGATGAGCGTGCTTTAATTCACAGCAAATGAAGGGAACTTGCTTTAATTGACAGTCTGTGATTGGATCTGTGAGGAGGCAGAAACATAGTAATCACATAAAATGCTGTTTGGTTCAATAAAAAATGAAAATGTCTTGATAAATTTGGTAAATGAACTTAGGCGACCGAACAGAGAATGGTGACCAACTGTGGCACCCCAGGTGGCTTTCTACTGCCCTCTAGGGACTGTGCCACAAACTTTCTTATTAACAGATTTCAGGATGTAATTGGAACAGTAAAAAAAATCCAAATTAGGAGGTATGGAACTTAAATTTCATCTTTATTCCCCCACATGCAAATGGAGTATGCAGGTTTGTACTTCTTGGCAAAACAAAGTCCGTATTTAGAACACAAAAAAGAAAGAAAGAAAAAAAATAAACCACTTACGTGGATAGTTGTGAAAGGTAGTGGGTAAAAATATTTAGCTATAATTATACTGTTGCTTATACATAGCAAAATCAAGTGGAGATATATAGTGGGAAGTGTGTACAGTATGTTAGCAGCATCTACTGTATAATACAGTATATAGAAGATCATAAAGAATCCTGGAAGGAGAAAAGAATGTGTTTTTACAGAATGAATGATCTCCTAAACATGTGAAGGGACAGGAGAACAGGTGCACTTGTGAATGCGTTCAAACCAGCATTAATCATGTGGATGTTTCAGAGAATAGGGTAGAGAAATGTGAAGCAAAGGAGAGAAGTTCACAGAAAACATATGAGGAACTGTGAGACTGAGGAATTTTAAAAAGATGTGAGAGGAAATCAGAATGCTGAAAACACTGAGCAAGTGACAGAAGATGATATGCATTTCAAGAATGTTGCATAGCTTAAAGTGAGTGATTAGGAGGCAAAAGCTAGGCTTTAGCAGTGAAGGAAAGGGGAGCTTCTGTAGAGAAACTACAAGATTTATTAAGACCTCACAGAAAAGAAAGATGTTAATTTTTTTACTTTTGTTCTTCTTCATTCCTGAATAATGATATGTAGCACCATCACTTGAAGAAAGAAATTCTGCTCCAAAACCAAGTGTAAAATAGGGGTTTTTTGGTAAGAATTGTGGAATCTTCCTAGCAGTGACTTTAATGTTTTAAGCAGGGTTGGTTTAAAAGAGCGCTGTAGGCTATATAGACTATTTGAAGAAAAACTATTCCCTTTTAAAATTAGGTAGTGAAACACTCCTTTTGGGAGATAGTCACTTCTGAGAAAAATTGAGTGGCATTTGTCTCCTGTAACACTTCATCGATAATGTAGACATGTTTATGATGCAGCTGTGCTGACCTTGCTTTCTTGATAGTCAAGGCAGAGAAATAGGTATTTTTTAGGACACAGTTCATTGATCAGTTTTAGATACCTACTGAAGGGTGAATTGAGTTGTCCTCCGGACTTGTCTGAACTAAATCCCCACAGACTATTAAAAAAGCAAAGTATGACTAGCTAAAATGTGAGTGTCTACATACGATCAAGTAACTGCTGCACAGACCATCTAGAATAATGCAAAGTTCATTTTGTGTGTGAAAAGTTTTCTTTCCCAAATCCAGCTCGTGTAATCGCTCCATGGTAAAAAACGCATGTGAATTCCATGGAGTGTGTAGTAGCAGTGTTCTCACCAGGGGATTGCAGGGTCAGGTTCCCTTTGCTTTGCTTTCTCTTTGGAAGATCTTGCATTACTCTTGGATTCTGCTGGTCCAGCTTCAGCAGCCAGGTAGAGATTCGCCCCATCCCAGGCACGTGTATAGCTTTGTAGGGAGGGTGCTGAAAAAGGAGACCTGAGTTTGACTCCACTGTGGCTGAGGAAATAATTGAACCCTACTTCTTTCACTTCCTCAGTGAGTGCTACAAATGTTAATGTATTACACAAGAGAGAGTAATTTCTGCTAATAATATTTTGAAGAAGCTGACCAACATTTAATCACCTAACCTTGGAAAATAACTTAAATTAGGTATCTAGGTACTCCTGAAGGAAGATTTCAAACACACTTTGGAGCTTAGTGTTTCCTAATGGCCAGCTGTTGGCAGTACACCACCTTGGGGAGACATTTCTGTGTAATGGGAGGCTGCACATGTTGTTTTTCTTTGAAAGTCTTATTTTTTGACTACATGAGAAGTAAATCATCCATTGTAGGTGCTTTTTTTTTATCCTTTAATGCAATTTAAACACTTTGCTTTTGCAATCAAGAAGATTCAAAAATAAATGCCAGTAATGCAAAGTTAACATTTTAATAGTTTGTTTTGTTATTCTGTACTTATGCTGCATTTTCTCCTTGTTTTATTTCTTACGTTTTAAACACATTCTTCAAAAGTTTTAAAATATTTAGGATATGCAAATTTTTTCTAAATTTCTTTATTCTTTGCTGTGCATTTGAATCCTCTAGTATTATAGATTATGTATTAGATATAACACACTTTTTGTTCAAGTATTTGAAATGTCAGATACAGTAAAATTTTATTTTTTATACTAGAACAGAACTCGAATGTAAAATATGCATTATGATGTGTTCAAATTGCAAAAACTATTCTATAGCTTTCAAAAAGGGTTATGTGGTTTATGCAAGTCTCACTGAAGAATCTTTTCTTGTAATAGAAGTATTACAACATAAATGGAGAAGACACAGAATGTTCACCAGGAAAACTTTTGAAGCTTTCACGTAACAAGCTACATGAGAAAGAGTCCATAACTGAAGATCTGGAGAGAAAATTGCAGGAATACCAAGAAAAAGGAAGGGCTAAAATGGTATGTTTTTGTAAAAGATCGTAAACTCAACCAAATGTGGAAATCTTTAAACATACTCAACGAAGTGTATTTCTAGTGCCATTATTTTTATAGGAAACATAAGGTTGGGAAGGTACTAGAACACTATTTGGGATTACCCTGTGCTATTGTAAGTATTTTGACTGAAATAATTTATAGTACTCTAGTAATGTCACAAAAATTTATATCAGTGATAGCCTGACCAAGAGTTGGTAGTTGTACTACCTTTTTTGATCTATTTTTAAAATAAATTAAAATATTTTATGAAATATTTTTGTAAAAACAAAAAAAAATCCAAAAAAATCAACTCAAAAAGTTTTATAAAACTTCTATAAAATATTGCTCTCAGTGCTTTTCTTACCCCATGCATGAACATCTCAGTTACAGAAAAGTCCACCTCTGTTCTACTGCTACTTACAGAAGCACTTACGTTAGATGTTCTCATGTTTCTCTTTGTTACTACTGTCTCTAAATAACTTCTAAAATAAACATTTTCTTTTTTTTCTTAGGAATTGTGTTGTTAATCATTTAAATCAGCATTTCGAGCATGCAGTGAAGATATATCTTCATTTAAAATATAAAAATAAAATACAAAATCCCTCATGTTTGATTTTTCTTAACTCCTGCAATGAAAGTTCATGGAGTATGACAGCTACATGAGTACAACCATTAATAGACATGAGAAGCCCTTTTCAATTATGAATCTTTTTCCTCTCCCAAATGCAGATGTAAATAGCTAGTTATAATGGCTAAGAACTGTCCTACTTAGTCTGTAGTCTTCAAATGGGAAACATAATTCAGTCTCATATGTCCATACATCATCTTTGTATCCCTTCTGTAACATAAACATGTCCTTCTCCTACCCAAATTAACTATACTCATCTGCAGTTCACTGAAACGTGAGAGATCTATACCACTTCTTCAAAACACATATGGTTTAGGCTGATAAAAAGCAGTCTCAGGCTCTAAAGGTTCTAGCTAAGCCTACCACTGGATTGCTTTTTCATCTCTGCTCTCTATGCATCATTGAGATGTATAGTACTAACGACATCTGAAAATGCCATCTAACTGTGCTGGCAGCCACCTAAGGTAGACAGTATGGCCTGTAAAGGAGAAATACGGGCTCCACAATGTACCCTGTGAGGAAACCTGGTACCTCTCCCCAGTTGGAATTCATAGCTATGCAACCTGTTCTAGAAAAGGATCATTAAGCCAGGTCAGTCATTCCTGCGTACAGAAGGCAGTGATAGTAATTCCTTCTTGCAACAAACTGTTAGCTACAACAGTCAACAGTGGTATGGCTTATTTCTCTTTTGCTTCATTTGGGTAAGCCCTGACGAGGCTGTTTTACGTTATGAAAATACGTATATTTAAATGTTCTCTGTAACAAGGGCTGCAATCCAGGCTCCCACGTGAATATACTAAGAGGCTGTCATCGCATTCTTTATTGCACAAATTTCTTCTCCAAAAGAGGAGGAGGCTGGATGTGAACAAGGGTTGTCTTTATCACAGTGGGCTGTGGAATTCTAGGGGTACAGGATCACCTCCTCACTATCTTTTAAAAGTTCTAATTTGGTGGGAGTACTTTTAGAACACCTAGCTGGATCAGAAAGCAGCTTGTAAAGGAACGTTTGTAACTTCCACTGGAAATTAGATGTTAAACCTTTCATTGCTATTAGGGTTCAAAATAGCTTGGCAGCAGTACGTAAACTGTCTTGCAGCTTTTAGTGGTACAAGTTCAGGTAGTTGTAGGTTTTAGTGCCTGTAATGCAGAATTCTTTAGTGCATCATCGGGGATTTTGATGCAGTTTTTGGACTCTGCTTCTTAACCAAATGGCATGTGTATCCCCACTGTAATGGCTGTGAAACCCACTGTAAAGACACCCAAGCTGTTGGCTGGTGGTCATTCTGGAGCCAGACAGAGTATACTGGTATATATGCATGCATTGTATCTAAAACATTGAGTTCTGCCTTAAAAAAAAAAATCATACTTGTAGCTTCTTACTAATAACCTACACTGAGAAGGTAAATAGTATTCCAACTTTTTATGTTACAAAAAAATGATGTTAGTTTGAAATGGCAGAGGATGTGGAGAGAAGCAAAATGTTAATTGACTATATACTAATTATAGGATTTAAGCAAGGGGGAGGGGAAATGGGCATAGTCGTACTCCCATCAAGAAATGTGTTGTAAGGAACATTATTGAAATCTGGTAGCACCATATCTAACATTGAAATGTAACGTTGAAATCTTTGACTAAAACAGCTTTATAGAAAAGATGAAGTAGTTAGAAAAATTTGAAAAATGAGAGGAGTGGTATTCAACATCAAAGAACAATTTGTTTTTTAAATTGTTGGTAACTGTACATTAAGACTCTCGTAATCCTGAACTTGTGCTAGCATAACTTTCTGGTGAGGTTCTATTACAAGCAGCAAACTGGAGAAAAGGATCAGTAACTCTTGAAGCACTCCTTCATATCATGTGAAGATGCAGGTGGTATGTCAGAAACTTTTTCTTCCTGAAATATATTCACAAAATGAGAATTTTCTATCAAAACTTTTTAAATTAGCATAACCAAACACTGCTTTTGACCTCCTAATTTATTGATGATAGTAGTTTTCTAAGGAATGAATGGAATGGAATGGAATGGAATGGAATGGAATAGAATAGAATAGAATAGAATAGAATAGAATAGAATAGAATGGAATATTTTCAGTTGGAAGGGACCTACAACGATCATCTAGTCCAACTGCCTGACCACTTCAGGGCTGACCAGAAGTTAAGGCATGTTATTAAGGGCATTGTCCAAGTGCCTCCTAAACACTGACAGGCTTGGGGCATTGACCACCTCTCTAGGAAGCCTGCTCCAGTGTTTGACCACCCTCTTGGTAAAGAAATGCTTCCTAATGTCCGGTCTAAACCTCTCCTGGTGCAGCTTTGAACCATTCCCACGCATCCTGTCACTGGATACCAGGGAGAAGAGATCAGCACCTCCCTCTCCACGTCCCCTCCCCAGGAAGCTGTAGAGAGCAATGAGGTCGCCCCTCAGCCTCCTTTTCTCCACACTAGACAAGCCCAGGGTCCGTAGCCGCTCCTCGTAGGACATTCCTTCCAGTCCTTTCACCAGCTTTGTTGCCCTCCTCTGGTCGCATTCGAGTACCTTCACATCCTTCTTAAATTGTGGGGCCCAGAACTGCACGCAGTACTGAAGGTGAGGCCAAGGTGAACGATAAGTTAATAACTTGTGCCATAAGTATGTGAACACATTTGTGTTCAGTGGTTTTGTATGCACATATGTGCAATATTTCAAAAGCTTGATTTACATTGGTGAGGGAAACTGACTGAGGCTTAAAATCTGAACACAATAATATGAACAAAAAAGCTGAAATCTCTAAGAAAAGAAGTATTATGTGACCAAAAAGCCATAGTCTCATAATCAAGGAAGAGGACAGCATTTATTAAAGTGCTATTTTAGTGCCATGGCAAGATGACATTAGCAAATGATAGAAATTAAAGCAACATAGAACAAATGTGGGAAAAGGGAAAAAAATACGGCAATTAATATAATTGGAAGCTTTTGAAGGGTATAAAATGGACAATGTATCAAGGAAAGAACTATAAATGGCACCATTAAGGACAAAATAATCTTAATGTATTGGGAGCAAAGGAAGTGGCTGCAATTGTATGAGCTTACTGTTAGGTAAAAATTGGAGAATCATTAATAATGTGAAAATCCTGGGGGCAATTTAAAAAAGGATGTCCTGTATATAGGAGGAGGCACAACAAGGTGCTTGTATCCCAGGTTAACAATTACTTTCTGATTTATTAACCTCCAGAAAGGATTTTAAACGTTTACGGAGAGTACATGTTTCTAGATGAGGAAACCCAGATAGCTTAGATCCAGGGGTCCCCAGAGACTGCTGCCCTGTTTATGTTAGATATGATAACATAATGGAAAACTTAATATGAGTTTTCCTAATCAGCACTAAAGGCTTTCTACAAAATAGATATTTTCCAACAAAGCTGATTTCATTATTTCAGTAGAATACAAGTCTGGTTGAGTGGTACCTGTGAAGACAAGACTTTTGCAAGGTGTTTGATTTAGTAGCACTGTTTAAAATATAGTATTCAGTATGCTACAGTAATGTCATGCCTTGAAATCCCACCACTAAGGGGTGGGAAGCTCCTAAAAGTCTGTAGTTTCAGACCTCAGGTAGAGGTACGCAAACATGGATGAGGCCCTTTGCCTGCAGGGCAAAGCCAGGAGGCGCAGCAGTGAAGTTTCCTCTTCAGTTCAAGGACTTCAGTCAAAGTTACATTAATTACATAAAGTGTCGAGCTTGTAGGGTAAATATCTGCTGTTGCCATTTGTCCTTTTAACTCCAGAAAGATGGGATGCTGCCCAGGTCCTGCACTTTGCATAATTTATGAACCAGATAAAGACATTTTCTTTGGGCAAAGCTCCTGTTCAACAATGAAAGATTTCAAAAAATACCTGTAAATGAGGAATCAGCATTGTATAGGTCTTGTTTGGTTGGTTGGTTTTTATTATTACAGAACTTTTTTATTATTACAGAGCTTGCTCAAGTTCTGTAACTTTGCTAAAGTTCTCTAATAATTAATAAAGGTTTCACATTATTCATCGGTGACCTGGAATTAAATTAAAACGCTGCTGATTAAACTTGTAGGCAACACAGAGTGATAGATAAGTAACGACAGCACATGGCAGTTGTAGCAACCTGTGGTGCACTGGGTCCATTGAAACAAATTGTTTGTTATACCTCTAGAAGCAAGGAACACAGCTGATACCTACAAGATGGGGAGCTATCTTCAGGAATTCAGTATCTACAAAAAAAAACACAAAAAAAAAACCCGCAGGGGGGTTGGAGTACACTGGCAACTGAACACAGACTCATAGTTTATAGCAGTTTTTAAAAGGGTTGATATGATACTTCAATGATTAGCTAAGTGTAA